CCCCAAAACCCCAAAACCCCAAAACCCCAAAACCCCTTTTCCTAAATAAGAATTGGTGGCGATCATTTAAACATGGAGGTACATTACATCTTAGCCATCTTTGGAGCATCAACTCCAACAGCCTTTGCGATTCTTTCTCCATAGTCTGGATCAATCTGCCAGTAGATCTTTACAGCCTTCTCTTTGACCTCTTTAGTGACGCCCGCCATGTGCTCAGCAGTGTTTTTGATCAAGTGCTCTCTGTCCTCTTCGGTCATTACGTTTTTGTATAAGGCTCTTGGTTGCACGAAATCATCTGGAGTTCCGAAGTCGTGTCTTCCTACCTTGCCAGTTACTTTTGGAGTACTCCATGCAGCCTTTGGATCGGCAACTGGACCTCCTAAGGTGTTTGGCTCATAGTTTGGCAAACCTCCAAAGTTGCTGGTGGAAGTTAATGGTCCATCTCTTTGGTAATGAGCAGTTCTTGCTCTGTATGGGCAATTGATTGGAATTTGATCGTAGTTAGCGCCTAATCTGTGTCTGTGAGTATCTGGATAAGAAAATAGTCTTCCTTGAAGCATTCTATCATTAGATGGCTCAATTCCTGGCACAGTATGAGTTGGAGCAAAGGCTGATTGCTCAGTCTCAGCGAAATAGTTGTCTGGGTTTCTGTTCAAAACCATCTTTCCTACTTCAATAAGTGGGTAATCACTATGTGGCCATACCTTTGTGATGTCAGTAACATCAAATTTGTAAGTCTCAGCATCAGCAACTGGCATCAATTGGACATACAAGGTCCAGCTTGGAGGATTTCCATTATCAATAGCATTGTACAAATCTTCAGTAGCGTAATCTGGATTCTCAGATTTCATCTTGGTGGCTTCCTCACTTGTGAAATTCTTGATTCCTTGGTCGGTTTTGAAATGATATTGGACATAGTGCTCATCTCCATCAGCATTAACCCACTTGTAAGCGTGGGAAGAGTATCCGTTCATGTGTCTATAACCGTCTGGAGTTCCTCTGTTAGAGAAAAGAATTGTCAACTGGTGGAAAGCTTCTGGTTGATGTACCCAGAAGTCCCATCCAGCCTGGGAGCTTCTTAAGCCAGTCTTAGGATCTCTCTTCTGTGTATGGATGAAGTCTGGGAACTTGATTGGGTCTCTAATGAAGAAGACTGGAGTGTTGTTTCCAACCATATCATAGTTTCCTTCTTCAGTATAGAATTTAATAGCAAATCCTCTTGGATCTCTATCAGTGTCAGCATATCCTCTTTCTCCCGCAACAGTAGAGAATCTTGTGAAAAGAGGAGTTTGCTTTCCTACTTCACTGAGGAAGTCAGCTTTGGTATATTTAGTAACATCGTTAGTAACCTGGAAGTATCCGTGAGCTCCAGCACCTTTAGCATGAACAACTCTTTCTGGGATTCTCTCTCTAAATTCGAGTAAGCAAATGACGTAATTATCTAAAATATTTACCTGTCAAATTTGGCAAGCTTGTCAACAAGCGCAAAATCTTGAATCAGAACTGGTCCTTTGGCTCCAGCAGTTTGAGAGAACTGGTTGTTGTCAATAGGCATACCAGAACTAGTAGTGAGAGTCTTTCTATTTTTCTCCATTTTTAAGAATATCTTCCTTAAATTATAATCAATTACCGTGATTAATATAGGGGTTTTGGGGTTTTGGGGTTTTGGGGTTTTGGGGTTTTGGGGTTTTGGGG